TTGGCACATATGAAAGTTCTCACTAATTTTCTTTCCAAAACCATAAACTAAATGTATTGATTCTTAATTTGTCTATATTTTTCTTTTGTGCCACATACTGCAGACTGGCCTCCCCATAACCCTGTGTTGAAAGAAGGCACAAGATCAAACCTCTGCAAAAGGCTTATTTCACTTCTCATGGTTTAAGTTTCTAAACTTATGAATCATTTTTATGTATTTTTCTTTCAATTGCGTGGAAAAAAAAAAAAACACAATTCCCCATGAAATATACTCTGATTATAAAACATTCCTTGTGTGCCCTTTGGATACAGACTAGAATTTCCTTCTGACCCAAAGCCTAGAAGTAGTTGGTCAGTAATTGATAGAGGGTTCTACAGGTCAGGAATATGGACTATGCTGTTCCAAACAGAGTGATCTATGGCCTCAATAAGCTCACGCCGCTCAGAGTGATGGTTGCATCACAGCGACAGCCCTCTTATGTAAAATCCATTCAAAGATTTGCGTTTGTGTTCTCCTTACCAAGGTGCCGCCTTTCACCTCTCACCCGCTTGTGCTCTTGTTCAGACTACAAATGCCTCCCTAACCCCTCCTCCTTTATGGATTACTCTGATGAATTATAACTAATTAAACCAGCTTGGTCAAGTTAAACATTTGCCCCTTTGGACTGGGTGGTAATCTTCCCAGTGTAGGCAAAGTTCACAAGCATTGTGCTTAAACAGCTCGCAGTCATGGCTGCACAGCAGACCGTCAGGGAGCAGAGGGAGAGTTTGGAGCTCAGATCTGACTGCGGGGGTCTTCTTTGGCGACTTCAATGACTCAGGTTAAGAACTCTGGAGGGCGGAGGCGAAGAGGTAAGATCAGGTTTTTGTGTGGGGTTGGAGAGGAGCTGTTGGTGTGGCCCCTGATGCCGTGGATATAATGGGCCACTCTCTGGCTGGGGTCCCTGTAATGAAAGGGGCTTTCAGATTGGGGTCCCATGTTGGAAAAATGCAGGATGTGTTTAGGCCGAGTCAGAAGCTCCCAAAGCAAACAGAGCTTCAGCTCATATTTACAGAAATCCACATATTCTTATTAAACTAATGCTCCAATAATTTAGGTCAGTAAGATCTAAAAACAGAGATCAAATCAATTACATTTATTTGGTTTTTTTATTTTTTAAAGGCATAGTTGTAGTTTATATGTATGTTAATGTGAGTGCAGCACCCCCCACTCTCATTGGCTTTAAAACCGTGGAAAGAGGTTAAAGGTTAAATCTCATTAATAGGTCATTACTAAAATCCACCATTTAAAAACAAGTAAGTTTATTGTTTCGTATAGTCACACATCTGAGTAAAATCGAAAAGAAATTTGATTTTAGACATTTCTGTTTGATAAGAAGGATTTTGAACAAATTTGTTACCCTGGCAACAATTTCAAAGTCAAATTAGGCAGCTGGAGCAGTATTTCTTGGTTTACCCATGGGGACTTTTAGATGTGATCACCTCCTCCTGATCTCCATGCAGACGAAGCGCATTGGTAGCTGCTTTGATTTTTGCCCCACCTATTGCTGCACCTTTCAGAAAAGTTAACTATATGCAGCCTGGACTGAAGGCTGAACTCAGAAAGAAGAGGGTATGAAAGTAAAACTAGTAGTGTTTAAAAAGACGTCTGGACAAAATGTATTTCTTAAAGTAAAGCTAAAAAAGAAATATGTTCATTTGTACATAAAAAGTTCAGAAAATAAGATACGGTATTACAGAATAAGTCATCATCTTTATTTAAAAGACATTTTCTTTGCTCTTTTTTTTTATTTGTTCATTGGATCTCTGTTATGAAGTGTAATAGCGTCTACTTGCTGCTAACAAAACAGGTGTAGCCACCACTTCGTTTGTGATGAGTTGGCAGGAATAAGGATCAAATCAACATGTGCTTAGAAAGGGTAATTAAACAAAACAAAAAAAAGCAAGGACAGAAACTTGTGTAACCAGAATGGTAACAACCAGCATCCTGTCAACTCTACCGGTAGAGCCTGATCTCAAGTCTGTCTCAAGAAATTTTTATATTCTTGAAAGTTGAAGGTATTTCAGTAAATCCTTTCAAAATGTAAATCTAACATTCCTTTCACCATGTATGATAAAGAAATGTGAGCCTACTGAGAAGAATATTTATGTGACACTGCTCTGAAAATTGGTTTGGGTTTTTTTTTTTTTTTTTTGCATGATTTGTTGCATCATTGCAAAAATAACATTGAGTAAACAGCATGTAGCTCTGCTATGGCGTTGAAGTCAGTGGTACACAAATGGGGATAATTGACTTTTGACTAGAAAACAAGAGACTGGTTCAGCATCTCTTTAGCTTAGATAGGGAGAAATAGACCATTTAATACTGTCTCTAGCAGAGGGGAGCCTGGAGCCCAGGAGTCGGTTGTGTCTTTTGTTCTGGATAACAATCACTCTGTAGGAATCCATGTTTCTTTGTGACATATTTTTCTTCTTAACTTTCCATTAAAATGGTTGGAACCGATTCTCTAGTGAACAGCCCAATTTCTTTGTGATTATATTTTATGGCTAACCCTCCTTGTAGATAACGTCAGTGAGCCTTAAAACCTGTCAAGCCAGCAGTTTTCCCTGTGATTATGTCTGCCACGTGGCATGACAATAATATTTTTTCGTTAACATGAAAAACTATTGATTGGACTTGTTTAATATTCTGTTTGTTGTTTTTTTTTAAGGAGCATAATTTTATATACCAGCCATATTCATCAAAGTTAAAATAAATACTTTAAATGATCTGTGTCTAACAAAAAAACTTTTATTTTGTTGACCTCCTTCATTGAGAAACACCCAAACAGGCAGACTTACTGTAAATTTGAACGATAATGTCGATAAGTTGTTTGAGTTGTCATCCATCTCTCTCCGTAGGTCACTCCAGGCCTCCGTCCTCCATGCCTGCCTCTCCAGGCTACACTCGACTGGAGCAGAATGAGTCTATGAACCCGTTGCGTATCTCTGTAGGAGGCCTCCCCATGCTGGCTTCCATGGCCAACCCCACCGACCCCCGGTTCAGACTCAAGTGGCGGCCCATCGTGGCTGTGACGCTCTCCCTGGCTCTGGTTCTGCTGGTCTTAATGCACTTCAGCTCAGGCCGCTCGTACGCCTCGCAGGGCTGGAGACCTTGCCGCGGAAGCTCAGTCAGAGACACTGATTCACAGTACAACGACACTTACCCTCTGACTCCGCCAGAGCGTACGTCACTGGGGATGCGCTACCGCATCGGGGTCATCGCCGACCTGGACACAAACTCTGCCAGCGAGAAGAAGCTGACGTGGTTCAGCTACATGCGGAGGGGGTATCTCCTGGTGTCGCAGAGTGGAGATAAGGTGGCGGTTGAGTGGGACACAGACAGGGTGGTTCTGGAGAGCCACCTGTCAGAGAAGGGGCGGGGCATGGAGCTGTCTGACCTGGTGGTGTTCAATGGCAAACTCTACTCTGTTGATGACAGAACGGGCATCATCTACCACATAGACGGAGACAAGGCTGTGCCCTGGGTTATATTGACCGATGGGGATGGAAGTGTCGCCAAAGGTATGAGGATGGACTTTTTCCATGCAGTAATATTTTAAACCAAAACAAGTAATTTTCTGTTGGGACTTCCAAGGATAAAAATGTGTTTTTCTTTTGGCTTTGAAGATTGGTTTAGAGAATAAGTAACATTTTTTATTTGTACTTTCAGTCAGTTAAATGTAGTTCTGCTTTTTCCTGGCAGGGTTTAAAGCTGAGTGGCTGGCAGTAAAGGACGAACATTTGTACATCGGTGGTCTTGGGAAGGAGTGGACGACCACCGAGGGCGAGTTTGTCAACAACAACCCAGAGTGGGTGAAAGTTGTAGGGTTCAGGGGCGATGTGCAACATGAGAACTGGGTTCCCCGGTATAAATCCATGAAGCTAGCTGCAGGGATCGAGCCACCAGGTGAGGAAGATTTGCCTGGGGGATTCTTTTGTTCCCACTTTCTTTCTCTTCCCTTGCTTCATTTACTCTTCATTTGTCTCCGCAGGGTATTTTATTCATGAGTCGGCCGCCTGGAGCGACTCCCTCCAGCGCTGGTTCTTCCTCCCTCGCCGCGCCAGCAAAGAACGCTACGAGGAGACGGCGGACGAGCGCCGCGGCACCAACCTTGTCCTGAGCTGCTCGCCGGACTTTAAAGACATCAAAGTGAGCCATGTGGGGCCACTTCTTCCCACTCACGGCTTCTCCTCGTTCAAGTTCATCCCCAACACGGATGACCAAATCATTTTAGCGCTCAAGTCTGAGGAAGACGCGGGAAAGATTGCGACGTACATCACAGCCTTTACACTTGACGGACGCATTCTTTTGCCTGAAACTAAGATTGGTGATGAGAAATATGAAGGGTTAGAGTTCATATAGAGGGCTCGGAGATGGAGATCATAGCTCTGGAGGCCAACGCACTGTGGTGCAAGTTTGTTTACAATCCAGTCACTGCACACTTACTGCTACCCAGAAACCCATCTCTCATGTCTCTGAAAGGTTGTCTTGTGGGTTCTGGGATTGTGTAAGACCGTTCCAGCATTGTCAGCCAGTTTAGAGGGGGGATGGATTTTGACAGTACTGTAACTTTTGTTTTAATGAATGTATAGAAATGATTTATGGAAATGTTGTTTGGGTTCTTTTTTCTTTTAGTAAATGATGCACATACTGACTAACATTATATATTTGTTTTCCTTTGCTCCAATGTGAACACTCGACACATGTATTTTGTCTGAATACAATCTGAAGGATGGATTTTTTTTTTTTTTTTTTTGAAAACTGAAATTGTGCTCTATGGGATTTTTTTTCTTTTGTTTAAGGACTGGAGGGGGCTCACAGTAAAATATTGGTTCCTATTTTCTGAATCTTGTCTCTTTACTTGTGCGCTTGGGAAGGTCAGATGTTTGCAAATGTGTTTATGAAAAAAGAATTTGACCCTAAACAACTCTCAGATCCCTGCGGAGTTGTGCAACAGCTTTCTGGTTCTGCTTTAAAGCTAAATGAAACTTAGAGATTGTGGGAGTAGGCAAGAACAGAGAGCAAATATATCCAGCATCCCCCACTGTCCCCACTCTATAGCTACTGTGAAGTTTAAGCAGACCTAAAGAGGGGACGCAGTGGAGACTTGGACGGAGCAAAGGTAGGTGTCTTTATTAGAGATGGCTTGATATACAGATATATAATCTTTAGATGTATATTTATATTAATGCATTGCAGTCAGAATGTTTTATTGACTTAATACAACTAAAAAGTCTTTTATTTTTTTTTATTTTTTTGTTTTACTTTAGGATTTAAACATGTTACCTCCTCAAAATCTACTTGCTTTTATTCTTCCTGTCCTGTACGTCTCTGGAGGAGCGTACAGGCTTGACATTCTCAGTAAGTTATCCCAGTTGCTCTTCACTTGGGGGGGGCAGCTTATTTATGTAAAAACAAAATTTCTTTCGGGTGAATGCTGGAGGGTTTCATATTGTGACTGTGGGCCCTGAGCCATTTTTTACGACTTTGTGGCCTTTTTTAACTACTGTATGTCTATTTTTGCCTTTAGAGCAGAACTCTGAGCCAAATGAAGGCAATGTGAGGTTGTTTGGTTCTGACAGCCCCTCAGAGGGCCGTGTTGAGGTCTTCCACAATGGGAAATGGGGAACTGTGTGTGATGACAACTGGGATATTACTGAAGCTGAGGTGGTTTGTCGTCAGCTCAACTTCCCCGGAGCCAAATCTGTTGTCATTGGGAAGGACTATGGACCAGGTGCCCTTTGCTTTTGTTTCTCCTCCACCAGATGGCAGTAAAAAGTGCAGATTTCTTGATTTTAGAGCAGCATTTTCATTTCTCAATCTATGATTTTTTTGTGTGTGTGTGTGTCCTGTATATTTATTTCTTTTTCATGTTTTTACCATTGTAGCATCTGGACCAATTTGGCTTGATGACATTACCTGTGAAGGGCTGGAGAAGGAGCTCGTGTCTTGCAGGTTTAGTGGATGGGGAATAACTGACTGCTCCCATAAAGAGGATGTTGGTGTTATCTGTGAAAGAGGAAGTAAGTTAGGAAAACATATTCCAAGCACTCATGGGAAATTAAGTCTTGTTTTATCTATAAGTGCAACTCATTTCATGCTGAGAGGGACAAATACAAAACTATTTGTTTACATATGTGTTATACAAGTATATGATGTTGATCCCTGGTTTAGATAGCTGAATATAAACTGTATAGCAGGACAGTATTACATGAAGTGGGTTAGAAAATAAGTCCATCAGCTGAAAAGTGGGCAATTCCCTTTCATAAAGAGGAAAGAAGCATGCATGCAGTTCAAGTCATGCAGGTGGATGTTAAATAATGTCCTTTAGCTGATTATTTTACTTTAAAGACCACTTTTGCTGCATAGCAGAACCTATAATCTTATGATAAACCCTGATGGAGAGGTATTATGATAATAATGAGTATCCAGTTGAGGTGGAACTAAGGGTGGATGAATGGCCATGGAGGTCAGCAGAGGGAGGCTTCCTATAGAGATATTCAAAGTGTTCAAACCTCTTCGCTTATTTATAACTCAAGCATTGAAATCTATCCATTTCAATCCGTCTCCTAAGAATATTTCAATGGTGACCCATATGACGGAACTGCTTCCATTCAGAGATAACAAAGATCTCTTCTTCTCTTCCACTCCTCTGGCTGATTACGGTATTTGTTTGATTCCAGGTGATCTGACAACAGATGACTCTACTCACTCACTGGACCACAGCATTGGTCTCTCAGGTGACCTTGGTCAGATCTTTGACAACGGTACTGCTTGTGATTTTTGGATCACCTTTCAGACCCCTAGTGGAAACAGAAAGGATGATGGGACACCAGAGATGACTGAGACTACAATTTGTGCACACAAAGCGATCCTCATGTTGTATCCATACTTCAGTGCTTCAGTGGAAGCAAATAACATCACAGTTATGGTGAAAAAACCCTGCCAGCCGTATTTAATCTCTTTTATCAGGTAAGCTTGAGCTAATTTGTTATATTTTTCATTTTAAACCACTTTTTTTCTTTATATATAATTCCCAATCTGTTCCTTCACAGGTATCTCTACACCCGTAAGACTGATGTGACCCATTCCTCTGCCATGTGCCTCCATCAGCTTGCTTCAGACTTCGGAGTAAAACAGCTGATGGAGGACATAGGCCGCCTCTTCTCTAAAATCCTCCCAGATGATGCTTCCTTTTACTCCCAAGTTTCACTTTACAAATATGCAGTCGAGTCAAAGGACCTTGTCCTTGAGGAAAACTGCATCCAGTATCTGGCCTGGAACTTCCAAAACCTCACAGGTTCCCCTGTTTGGGCCAGTCTTCCTGTGGATCTCCTTCGTTCCCTACTTGTTCGCTCAGATTTGGTGGTACCTGATGAGTATTATTTACTTCAGACTCTAGAAAACTGGATCACAACCAATGCAGACTCCCTGACTTCAGAAAGCCAGGCTGACTTGCTCCGTCTGGTCCGTTTCCCCATGATTCCTGCCGAGAAGCTGTATGAGCTGGGCTCCACTTCTCCTCTCTATAAGACTCACAGGGATGTTTACCTTAACAGTGTCTTGAAAGCATATCAGTTCAATGTTCTACTCTACAATAATCAAACCAAATCACAGTTAGGCAAGGAAAGTGATGATTATAAACCCAGAATCTACACAAGTGAGACCTGGAGCATTGAAATTGATCCTATTACCAAACCTTCGGGGTCTCGAAGACAAAACCAGTACTCATCTTACGAATATAGAAACCGCTATGGTCATTATTATCCAAGTCCTACTTCATCCCCTCAAAACAAACAGCTGATAACACCTCTCCACAACAGCCTTCTGTTTAAGAACAACATGATCACCTGGGATGTAAATGTCTTCAAAACCCAGAGTGACTGTTCAAGGTACGGTGTACGGTGTGAATCTATTCCTGCAGTCAGACTGGCCCGCAGAAACCGGTATTCGTCAGAAAGCAGCGTAGTCTTCCGTAACCGCCTCCTGATGATCTGCCAAAACAAGTATGTCGCTCAGATACAAGGGTTCAAAGAGACCATGGCTTATGTGAGTTCAAACATTACCCAGGTCCTTGCCTATCCCTGTCCTGACCACAAGTGCACTTACAAGTTTGTGGTGAGACCAGAGTATCTGTGATCCAATGAAAGGAGATAAGGAGATGGCATAAAATAGAAATAAAAACAAGCATATTTTTCACCTTATATCAAGTTCAGCATATTTGAAAAACCAATAAGCCTCCCATTTAATTGTTGCTTTGATTCCTAATCAGTGATTTAAATGGTTAAAAATCAGACTGAATATCAATCAACAATAATATATTTATATGTATTATGATTTTGAAAATAAAATGACTCCAGAAATAAATGTCTGAGACTGCACTCTATAGAAATGTGCTGAGAGGATGGATGGATGGATGGATGGATGGATGGATGGATGGATGGATGGATGGATGGATGGATGGATGGATGGATGGATGGATGAATGAGCTTTAATTGGATGTACTCTCAAAGTAAGTTGTCTCAAAGTTGTCTGAAACCAAGCCCATTTTAGTTAAGAGGTGGTTTGTTCTGGTATATTTGTACTGAAACATAAGGAAATGTGCAGTACAGTGGTGTGGTACCATCATTACCACACAACTACAACACAGAGCTGCACCTATCATATATCAAAGTTATACACAGGTTGTTGGAAAATGACCAACAAAGAGTTATACAGTAGTACAATAAAGTCAAAAGTGCTCACCTTCTTCTCTTGTGTAAAAATACAAATACAGAAAAATCCAGACATGGACACAATTATTGGAAAGAATTATGGAAAGAAAAACCTTCAATGGTCAGAAATAACTTAAATCTGACCAAAGTAACACATACACAAAGTTTTTTGTGTTGTATGGACCTAAGTGCACATCCAAAGAAGGTGTATATGTTATGTACCCATGTTTATGTTAGGTGTTTATGTAATGTGCTTATGTTAGGTGTATGTTATGTGCTAAGATCTCAGGAGGAGATCTTAGATGGATCAGAACCCCTCTGTAAATCTTGAGTGGGTATTCCTTAGTCCACAAAGGAATAGGAATATGGCTGTACACAGACATAACTTTTAACATCCAATCTGATGGAGCTTGAGATATACTGCAAAGAAAAATATAGGTCACTACCTAAAGATAGGCGAGCTAAGCTTGTTGGATCAAATATGCACGTAATCGATAAGCACCTAACATATACACCTAACATAATCACCTGACTTATACACAAAAACTAATGCATAGACACAAACTTATTTTTGGCACTAATGGAACCCCCCGTAAGTGAACACACAAAAAGTCAAACATTACTTTTTAACCATGCTTCAACAGACTAGAAAATAAACTCATGAAACAGGAATGGACAAAAATGATAGTACCATTAACATTACAACCTTCTGAGGCAATCACTGCAATACATTTTTTGATTATTGTGTTCATAGGGAGAATACAAAAAACAAAAATACTGATCTGGTTAGGCTTAGATTTAACTGAAAGGAAGTCCTGCATAAGCAACTGAATTTTTAAAGCTCTGGTATTCACAGCACTAAAGTGGCAAATAGCTTTAGAATTTAAAAAGAAATTAAAACATAATAAATGTGTAAATTTAAATTCTAATAAAGGGGGAGTGTCTGCATATGCAGATCCATCATCTAAGATGTTTTCCAGCCTCCTGTCTTTATCCATGTCCCTATCATTGTTTTTCTATGAACAATCTGTGCCCTAATTTGATAAAAAAGTAAGCAGTAGAAAGTGCAAATATATGTTTTCAAATATAGAGTGTAAAAATCCTCAGAAAAATGAATACTCAAGTAAAGTAGACACACCAAAACAAGGTACTTAAGTACTATAAAAATATATAAATACATACTTACTTACTCTACACTATTACTCAGACTTTGTTTTATAGCTAAAGTAGTTTTAACTATTAAAGCATTCAACAAAACTAAACCACAGTGAATATGATAAACTTTAAGAATAAAACTGTTTTCATGTTGATAAAGCCTTACACTCTGTGAAAGCAATGCCACGCAAAAAGTAGGAAGAAGTTGATTTTCTGCACCAAACCATCCAGGCCTGCTGACAGAACGCAATGTATGTAATAAAATGGCTGAGCAGAAAAATTGAGTCATCATTCATGCAAGGCTGCATTGTGCAATCTCCCCGGTAAAGGATCTTTTCCAGGTTTGTAAACATGTACCTTTAGAAAAACCCTTTCTAACTGAACAGTGGTCAAAAGACATGCTCATTGAGCATTAATTACAGACTCATCAAATAAAACATTGAGTGTGACAGTTCCCCCCTCCTACTGGAACGTGGGATATTCCCAAACGGTTTTCTTTTCCCAGCAAATAAGGGCGGTTTTATAGTCTTCTTTCGTTTCCCACAGCCCCCAGTCATTGCAGTATTCAGGTCTGCATGCAAGGACATGTCAGCTGGTATTGGCCCCTGTCTAGAACAGTGACTAACGGAGGTTTTAGAGATGTCTGTGGCTTTAACAAGCTGGTTGATCGCATGCAAAAATGGATGACCGCTGTGTTGATTTAATGATGACTTCTCCATTATGCCCTTTTAAATATGTCTAAACAATGAGTTTGGATAAAATGGCAAAGTGTTAATAACAAACAGAACTATATGGTTAAAAAAAAAAACATAGTTTGTGTTCGCTGGACAAATATATGTTTGTAAAATGTATGTGAAACCCATTTAACAGGAAACTGATATTGGAATGATACACAATCCATGTCCAACATACTATGCTTTAAAAAAGTCTTTCAATTAAATTGAGGTTATATTAGGTTTTTGAACTATGATATTACCTATCATGGCAGTGTCTTTCTGAACATCTTTTGACATATCCACCAACCGTTATACAGGAACTTCAGCGCTCTTTTTCCTTGGCAGTTGGCAGGTACATCAACAGGTTGCCTCATGCTTCCGCTTTTTGTGATTCAATGCTAGGAAGTGGTAAAAGAAATAAAAGTGCAATCAAGTGATTTGAAATCAAATAAGTATTTAANCCCCGTAAGTGAACACACAAAAAGTCAAACATTACTTTTTAACCATGCTTCAACAGACTAGAAAATAAACTCATGAAACAGGAATGGACAAAAATGATGGTACCATTAACATTACAACCTTCTGAGGCAATCACTGCAATACATTTTTTGATTATTGTGTTCATAGGGAGAATACAAAAAACAAAAATACTGATCTGGTTAGGCTTAGATTTAACTGAAAGGAAGTCCTGCATAAGCAACTGAATTTTTAAAGCTCTGGTATTCACAGCACTAAAGTGGCAAATAGCTTTAGAATTTAAAAAGAAATTAAAACATAATAAATGTGTAAATTTAAATTCTAATAAAGGGGGAGTGTCTGCAAATGCAGATCCATCATCTAAGATGTTTTCCAGCCTCCTGTCTTTATCCATGTCCCTATCATTGTTTTTCTATGAACAATCTGTGCCCTAATTTGATAAAAAAGTAAGCAGTAGAAAGTGCAAATATATGTTTTCAAATATAGAGTGTAAAAATCCTCAGAAAAATGAATACTCAAGTAAAGTAGACACACCAAAACAAGGTACTTAAGTACTATAAAAATATATAAATACATACTTACTTACTCTACACTATTACTCAGACTTTGTTTTATAGCTAAAGTAGTTTTAACTATTAAAGCATTCAACAAAACTAAACCACAGTGAATATGATAAACTTTAAGAATAAAACTGTTTTCATGTTGATAAAGCCTTACACTCTGTGAAAGCAATGCCACGCAAAAAGTAGGAAGAAGTTGATTTTCTGCACCAAACCATCCAGGCCTGCTGACAGAACGCAATGTATGTAATAAAATGGCTGAGCAGAAAAATTGAGTCATCATTCATGCAAGGCTGCATTGTGCAATCTCCCCGGTAAAGGATCTTTTCCAGGTTTGTAAACATGTACCTTTAGAAAAACCCTTTCTAACTGAACAGTGGTCAAAAGACATGCTCATTGAGCATTAATTACAGACTCATCAAATAAAACATTGAGTGTGACAGTTCCCCCCTCCTACTGGAACGTGGGATATTCCCAAACGGTTTTCTTTTCCCAGCAAATAAGGGCGGCTTTATAGTCTTCTTTCGTTTCCCACAGCCCCCAGTCATTGCAGTATTCAGGTCTGCATGCAAGGACATGTCAGCTGGTATTGGCCCTGTCTAGAACAGTGACTAACGGAGGTTTTAGAGATGTCTGTGGCTTTAACAAGCTGGTTGATCGCATGCAAAAATGGATGACCGCTGTGTTGATTTAATGATGACTTCTCCATTATGCCCTTTTAAATATGTCTAAACAATGAGTTTGGATAAAATGGCAAAGTGTTAATAACAAACAGAACTATATGGTTAAAAAAAAAAACATAGTTTGTGTTCGCTGGACAAATATATGTTTGTAAAATGTATGTGAAACCCATTTAACAGGAAACTGATATTGGAATGATACACAATCCATGTCCAACATACTATGCTTTAAAAAAGTCTTTCAATTAAATTGAGGTTATATTAGGTTTTTGAACTATGATATTACCTATCATGGCAGTGTCTTTCTGAACATCTTTTGACATATCCACCAACCGTTATACAGGAACTTCAGCGCTCTTTTTCCTTGGCAGTTGGCAGGTACATCAACAGGTTGCCTCATGCTTCCGCTTTTTGTGATTCAATGCTAGGAAGTGGTAAAAGAAATAAAAGTGCAATCAAGTGATTTGAAATCAAATAAGTATTTAAGATGTTTTTAGCCTTTTTCTTTAATCAATCATTCCTATAATAATTATACGATTGCATCTTAATGAAAGTGTTTTCAGATTCCAATAAAAAGGTTGGATTTTTCTCTGAAAACAATTAATTAACTGGCACTTAATATACTGGTTAAGTTTTACTAGCTCGACCCAGGCATGATTACTGGATTAATGAACTGTTCTCACTCAACAAAGCGGATTAGAATATCTAAAAAGTAACATATTGTGTCCCGATATAAAGGAATGGATTTTTTTTTAAATGTCCCCGGCAAATTTTTATCACGGAAAGGGTAACTAAGCCATTTCTAATGTTTGGGAGTGACTGAGTCATAATGACAGCCAGTGTCCACAGATGGAATAAACATGGAAGTCATGAACCTTCCCAGAGGTGGTCATCATAATAAACTTTTCCACAAAATAAAAGCACCTCAAACCCTCTCTTGAGGAGATTACAAGAGACTTTGCAAAGACGACAGCCAAAACCCACTGATGATCACCAAAAAAGATTAATTTCATGAGCGGTTCTAGACAGGGGCTAACAGGGGCCAGTGCCCCTATAGAACTGGTCCTGGCCACTGCTATAGCCCCTGTACTAAAACACACAAATCAGAAATGTAATGTAAGTAGGTCAAATTTGAACTAAGACAATTTGCAGATGTAAAAAAATGCTTTATGTTTAAAAAAAACAACAACTCCATTATCTTATTTAAGTCTATGATATCTAATCTAATTTTAAGAGCAGAAATCCTCCCTTCCTTAGCAGGTCATATTTTTTACCTTCTCAAATTAAGGGCAAATGCTCTGCTTTGAAGAATGCTTTACTTTTTCAAGTCTGTTTTTGCAGTGTTAACTCTAAAACAATTTCTTATGATGTATGTGACGATAGAAGAGAATGCTACTGATTTGTAGCACATACTTTAACAATTATTTAGAAATTAGTCACCTTTACGCTTCAATAATACTAAGATATGATCATATTTTTTTGCTATTAGATCAAAAGTGTGCAACCATGGCTTACTTCACATAGTGAGCAATGCACTCTTGCTAGAGATTTTTTTTATGTGTGTGTTATTCTTTTACTTGAATCCTATCTAAATAAAACTTAATAAAAATAAAATAAAATATTGTGTGGACTGAGACTTTTATGTCACAGGTGAAACAAATGCAACATTTAAGCAAAGAAAAACAAACAAATTTGATTAAAGTTAAGCAAGGAGAATGCAGTGTGATGGTATGGTGATTTAATTCTTTATTACCACAGTTATATCCCATGATCAATTTAACATTAAATTCTGCATTAGGTAAAATATAACAGATGCAGAATGTCAAATTAAATGTTTGTGGCCTTTAACTCATACTTCCTCTGGGTTTGCACAAACACATTACATTAACAAGACAACATGTATATGGATAAAAGGTAAGGTGGGAAAGTTGCTTTCTAAACAGGTCAAAACATGCTTTAATTTATTCCTGTGCTGTTGTGCAACAAGTTTTAACTGTCAGCAAAGTTGACTGCAAATTAAACGGAAAGCTAAACTTTATTGGGTACAACTGTGACATTGATTGTTAAAACAAACAGCAAGGTTCAAACCAAGCATAACGAAGGGGACTCTAAAGCAGTGTTTTTCAACCCTGTTCCTCAAGGCACACTGATCTGCATGTTTTAGATGTTTCCTGTCACGTCTTGGTTGTGGTTTAGAGGACCTAAATGCAGAGGCAAAGAGGCTGAGGTTAATTCTTGTAGTTTTAATGATGAAAATAGTTAACAAAGGCAGGAATCCAAAATTTCAACTAAAAATGTAACACAGACCAGAACCATGGAGACATCAAGGCAAAACACGCACAAGGAGCCAGGGAGAGACGAGGTGAGAACGACAACAGCGATGACAGGACCAGCAACAACAAGAAACCAACAAAGAGTTACTGCAGAGGGAGAGTATTGCTCTTAGAAGGCCGATTACGTTATAGCGCGGCGCCGAGGTCTGGTCGGATTCCAAGAGTCCTTGTTATGCGGCCTTAAAATGTGTCCTTCTTTTTGCCTGATTTGAAGGACGGGTCCGATGTATCCTCGCTATCCTTGGTTTACCCAGGATTCATTGCAAGACCAAGCAAGCCGGCTGCTCCATGATCAGAGGAAAGGTTGCTTGGCGCCGAACAGTGGTGAAAATTGGAAGTTCAGTTTTTAATATAATACAACTCTGTGAATAGTTCCGTCTGAAATGAATGAAAATAGTTGTTTTAATGGTTATAGAGTCAGATATGTGGCGGTAATGTTTGGTTTATCTAAAGGTTTTAATCTGTAACTGTGTAAATGGGTTTGGCTGTAATTTAAGGACAGATTCTAATATATCTGCAGTGTGGGGACTATAAATCTGAGAGGAGTTTAATTTTTTTATAGCTGTTTTGCACAATATGCTTAACTAAGTATTTTTTGTTGTTGAATATTAGAGATTTTGCAGATATATTTTTATACATACATTGTTTAGATTTACTTATATATTTCTACCCCCTTTATAGAATAGAATAGAAAATCCCTTTATTGTCCCACAATGGGCAAATTTACAGCAGCAGAAAGATTATTGAAAATGGTCACACAAATAAGGACCTTAGAAAAATGTCTAAGAATAACATAATAGGGAAGAGTTAAAATATAAACAATACAATAATGACAAAAATATTTTTTTTTATTATAAGTTTTGAAAATTTCGGTATTCATTCTTTTCCTGTTTTGTGTGTCAACTATCACGGTTGCTAAGCAACAGAGCATACGGCGGTAAAACCCGCCAAAGGGTAGACCTGTTCGAATTCACAGCCAAAACACTTCCGGTCTCCCTATTTTCACGGACTTCGAAGGATCCAGTCCAGGTAGACCGCGTCCTTGGAGGATGCAGCCCAGGATTTCGAACAGAGCCTTTATGCAGCTGACTGAGACAATGGCAGGGCTAACGAGCTGACAAGGAGCAGGTGTGAGGAGACAACGAGGGAGCCAAGGGGAAAGGAACAAGGCAACAGAGAACGACAGAAAAACCTGAGAACTAGCATAAATCTAGAAACTACAACAAAATAGGAATTAAACCAATAAAACTAGGAAAAATGGAGCAAAGTAAAGCACAATAAAACCAAAACCATGACATTTCCCTGCTTCAGCACACCTGATTCAGAGAATTGGAGCTAAAAAAAAAAACTTTTAATCTGCTATCAATTGATATCAGGTGTGTGACAGCCTGGAAATATCCATGGCTGCGTCCAAACATCCGCCCTAACCCCTAGATCCCTCAATCACTATATAGAGTGGGGAACACATAGTGGACTTTATAGTGACTCAGTTAAAGTTATAGAGGACGATCTTTTATTTCCGGGTGGATCATCTAAATAAGTGGTTCTCCTTTGCAAATCATTCTGGTAATATGTTTATGTAAGGCCGTCCTACTTGCTTGCCTTTCTGTTTTAAAGGTTTTAAATGTTTTAAATCAGGTTGGGTCCAGATCCGGACCGCAGTTCGCTAATCCGTGACGGGAACCCGAAGTTTGCAGTGTTAACTGAACTGTGAAGATTGTCTAATTTTGCTGTGGTTATTGAGTTGCTGTTGTTCTCGCTCATTTATGGCAATGTCTTTTCTCCGTTGTAGGGTTGTGGGAGATATGAATAGCACTGGTTGTAATATTGAGACTCTATGTGCCAGATTTCTTCACTAACAGATTTTATATATTAAGCTAACGGAGGTGATGTTTATCGAACTGCCGGGCAACATTTATTATTAGGATATTGATGATAATATCATCATTAGTATCCTGTATCCGAAACACATACACTCCTAAATAAAGTTTTTATTCATTTCCTACCCAAGCAAAAAATAAATTTGTGGAAAAAGATTTGTTTGAGCTTTAACAATTTCTTATCTATCTGGTGTTGTGAAATAAATCTGTCCAGGTTAAAAAAATAAAAAAATAAAAAAAGCAGCTTTTGAAATAAACTGAAAGTGAAAGCCGTTATTCTCTGAGTTGTCTGTTTGTTTGTTTTTTACATTTGTTAATTTTACTGCTAGACATTTCCAGTAAATCAAAACCGCTCCTTAAACAAGTTTTGACAGCTCCAAAAACACCTACACAATGGCTTTTCTATATTATGTCCATCAAAACAAAGCTGGGAAATCAGGGAGGGATGATAACTCTGGTGAGAGAATGTCGGTATAAATGTCACATCTCTTGTTCTCGTCTCTAGATTTTTGCAGGAGAGCTGTTTGAAGAAGAGGCTTAAAAAAAGAAGAGCCACTACAGATAAATATCAGAGGGAAAAAGGTAGGTGTTGTTATAAAAAGCAATGATTTCATTCACGTATTTAAATGGTATATCCAATAAAATGTTTTATCAGAAAACAAAAGAATTTGAGAATCTCCTTGTCTTTCAAAAAAGCAAGAAACTTGTAGGACTTGTTCAAAACATATGGCTTAATGAACAATAGCATGTGGCTTTATTAAACATGTGGCAGATGGTCTGGCAGACCTTAAACTCCTAACTAATACAACAGAATAAAACTGCGGTCTGTGACCACAAAGGGTCCTTAAACAATAAATAAAATGGGGTGCTACTATTTTAAATATCTTAACTATTTAATAGTGCCACACATGCTTGTAGAAACTATAGCATGCAACAATTATAGTAATTTTTCTTACAGTAAATCAGGGATGACAGTAAGCCGGTGTTACACCATATTCTGTGACTTTTTGTATGTTATGACCCAGGAGGGTCATTGCAGAGCTGTCTCAATCCTCGCCACCTGATTAACAATTTGTGGCTGATTAGCACAACTTTCAGGATTTTTGAAAAACTTTCTTTAATTCTACCAAAGGAGTCATACTTTTTCTTGATTAATCTAAATGGAGAAGCTACAAGGCTCAAAATCTACAATACAAAAGTGTCATTTAGTTGTTATTCATGTATATTTTAGGTTAGGTTACATCAGTCCATATTTAAAAAAACATATTATCTTTAAATGTACAAGGTGTAAGAAAACCATATGAGCAAATAGACATTTGGTATTTTCATGCAAAATGTCTGGCAGATGCAGATGTGTTATGTCTAAATCAATTTTTTCTCATTTTTTCTGTCTTCACTCAGATGAACTCAGAACCACTTGCTGCTTTTTTCGCTGTGCTTCTGTGTCTCTCAGAAGGGTCATACCTGTTCCACAATCTCAGTAAGTCATTTAAGTTGTTAGAGACATCTTTGCTTAAAATACATGTTTGGTGTTCAGACAAAATCAAAAAAATGTGTAGACTTACATTTAATTATACTAATAGTTTTTCATGCATGTATCACTTTTGTCTTTTCTTGTCTTCGTCTGGTTTTGCTTTTAGGAAGAAATGAGCCAAATGAAGGTGATGTGAGACTGTCTGGGTCCAACATAACCTCAGAAGGCCGCGTTGAGATTTACCATGATGGAAGATGGGGATCTGTGTGTGATGACAGTTGGGACCTGGATGATGCCCATGTAGTTTGCCGTCAGCTTAACTACCAGAGGGCCATATCTGCCATGACTAATGGAGTCTATGGAGAAGGTGCCATTTTTTCTATTTTTCCTCCACTAGATGGAAGCAAAATGCTAGCCATTAATGAAGAGCTGCACCATTAAACTCTTGATATTTGATCATTATTTCTTCCATTATTATAGCATTTGGGCCCATCTGGATGGATAATGTCGACTGTTATGGGACAGAGCAACAACTTGCATCTTGTTCATTCAGAGGGTGGGGAAATCATGATTGTAGACACGCAGAGGATGCCGGAGTTGTGTGTTACACAGAAGGTAAGTTGATTCTAAGGCAGGAAAATTACTTGTTTTGTCACCACAAACTATTTGTATAGTTATTAAATGAGGTTTACTTTTAGTTCTAGATCATAATAAAGCCCTTCACGACTCTACATACTCCCTGGACCACAGCATCACCCTCTCAGATGACCTTGGAAAACTCTTTGACAGCAGCAGCGCTTGTGACTACCTAATAACTTTCCAGACCCCAATAGATAAAATGCATGAGTATGTCCACCCAGAGGAGAATGAGACAACAATCTGTGCCCACAAAGCGATCCTCATGTTATACCCTTACTTCAATGCTTCAATGGGGACTAGTAACATCACAGTCACTGTCAACAAAGCCTGTCAGCCATATCTCTCTTCCTTCATAAGGTGCAGTGACATTTATCTATGCTTGTGTGTTTGTTTTGAATACTTGTTCTTTTGAAAATATTTCACATTTGTTCCTTTACAGGTACCTTTACACCCGTCAGATCAACGTGACCAACTCCTCTGCGATGTGCCTTCATCAACTTGGTTTAGACTTTGGAATTAGGCAGCTGATGGAGGATGTTGGTAGGGTGATCTCTGAAATCCTCCCAGATGATGCTTCCTTTTACTCCCAAGTTTCACTTTACAAATATGCAGTCAAGTCAAAGGACCTTGTTCTTGAGGAAAACTGCATCCAGTATCTGGCCTGGAACTTCCAAAACCTCACAGGTTCCCCTGTTTGGGCCAGTCTTCCTGTGGATCTCCTTCGTTCCCTACTTGTCCGCTCAGATTTGGTGGTACCTGATGAGTATGTTTTACTTCAGACTCTAGAAAACTGGATCACAACCAATGCAGACTCCCTGACTTCAGAAAGCCAGGCCGACTTGCTCCGTCTGGTCCGTTTCCCCATGATTCCTGCCGAGAAGCTGTATGAGCTGGGCTCCACTTCTCTCTATAAGACTCACAGGGATGTTTACCTTGACAGTGTCTTGAAAGCATATCAGTTCAATGTTCAACTCTACAATAATCAAACCAAATCACAGTTAGGCAATGAAAGTGATGATTATAAACCCAGAATCTACACAAGTGAGACCTGGAGCATTGAAATTGATCCTAGTACCAAACCTTCGGGGTCTCGAAGACAAAACCAGTACTTACCTTACGAATACAGACACCCCTATGGTTATTATTATCCAAGTCCTACTTCATCCCCTCAAAACAAACAGCTGAGAACACCTCTCCACAACAGCCTTCTGTTTAAGAACAACATGATCACCTGGGATGTAAATGTCTTTAAAACCCACAGTGACTGTTATGACTATGGTGTGCGGTGTGAATCTATCCCTGCAGTCAGACTGGCCCGCACGAACTGGTATTCGTCAGAAAGCAGCGTAGTCTTCCGTAACCGCCTCCTGATCATCTGCCAAAACAAGTATGTCGCTCAGATACAAGGGATCAAAGAGACCATGGCTTATGTGATTTCAAACGTTACCCAGGTCCTTGCCTATCCCTGTCCTGACCACAAGTACACTTACAGGTTTGTGGTTAGACCAGAGTATCTGTGATCCAATGAAAGGAGATGGCATACAATAGAACTAAAAACAAGCATAATTTTCACCTTATATCAAGTGAGACCTGGAGAATTGCTCTTAACCCCTTGGAAAAGCCGCCAACATAAAGTCCAAGTCCGAGCACTGACACAACCGACCACAATTATAACGACAAATATGAAGATTTTTCCGATGACGATATCCAATTTTATGACAACACAATAATTTCAATCCCAAAAAAATTTTTTAAAACACTTCTCCACAATAGTCTTATGTTTAGGGGCAAAATGATTGCCTGGGACGCAGATGTCCTCACATCCCAGAGCGAGTGTAACACAAAAGGAGTGCAATGCAATTCAGTTCCTGCAGCAAGGCTGGCTCAGCAGAACAGTGATAACTGGAGGAGTAACATCCGCTTCAATAACCGTGTCTTGCTAAAGTGCCAGAATGGGTACATCTGTCAGATTCAGGCCTTTGACAGTATGATGGCATACATCAGTAATGATTCTCAGCCTCTTACTTATCCCTGTCCTAATGACAAGTACATCTATACATTTGTTGTGAGACCTGAGTATGTTTAATCATGTGGGTAAGAAAACTGAAAAAATAACAATTAGTGTGATTGCTATATATCATAAATGTTTCACTGACTCAGATCAAGAATCAAAAACGTTTGTAAATTTTCTCTTATCCTTTCCTATAATCTGTTGTTTCTATACTTTTATTCTGTATTTCAAAAACATATTTGCAAGTTTCATTGGGGGAAAAGGTTCAAATGATTCAAACTGTCCCCATTGAGTTTTATTGGGATAAAATGTCTGATTAAAAGAATAAATGGAGTAGATTTCTGTATGTCTGTCTGTCTCTTAATAAATAATGATCACATTATTTAAGGTTTGTAAAGTTGTAAATCTTTTAAAATGCTTACCTTCTTTGTCTAAACCATTTATTTGTCCACCAGAAAGCTTAACAGGAAAAATCTTTATAGATTTGTGTTTTTTGATATGTTTTAATTCATAATCCAAAGTGCGATAGTAAGTCTATCAAAGGACTTGAAAAGGGCATTTGGAAAAGAGACGTCCTCAAAGTCCTATAGTTTTATTAGAAACTTATACACCAAATATTGCAAGAGTAAGAAGTTGAATATGAAAAAATAGCAAAAGCAGATATTCTTGTTTTTTCAGTTGGTTTGTAGGGCATAAATCTATGTATGGGAGAGCGCTGAAGGGATTTTTCATAAGTTTTTACATCAAAAAACAGACTTTCCAAACCCACTGTGTATATTATTTTTTGTTAAACCTATTGAAATATATTATATATATATCTAAATGTATATTTACACTTTAATAAGTCGTAAACTTTTATTTATAAAATTTTACAGCTTTATTTAAACACAGTGTCTTAAGAGTATTTTTGAGATACATAGATGAATGCAAGCAAGTTAATATTTGTTTAGTTTCACATCAAATCATTTACATTTTAAAAGATTTGTTTACAAATTTTCCCACACGAAATGCATCCCAACTTGGAAATAGTCAAGGTAAATGGTCATTTAAAATATTTTCTCCCTTCCTACAGCATGTCTGCTTTATTTGACATCATCAGTTGCTATTCTGAAAGAGAACAGGTTTGTTTTGAATAACATTGATGATTATTTTCTTAATGATTCATGAAATCCTCCCTGGTATCTGTTTTCACCACCAAAAAAAAAGTTTTCTCTGATCCTACGTTTCCGCTTCAATTAAGTGAGTCTGCCCTGCATGCACGGGCATGTAAGTTAGCATTTAAAACACAGTGACTAAGGGGTTTTTAGAAGGTTTTGTGTGTGCACGTAAGTGTTTGATCACATGCGAATAATAGGTGATCATTGTTTATGTTTAAATGTGATTCATCCAGAAATACTCCTCATTCTGGGGTGAACTCACAGCAGGACAGTCATGGAAAAGATAACATTTTTAGATGTAAAGAGTTACACATCATAACCTATTTACCCTAATAAAAAGTTCAGGTATTTTATTGTAGTTTATATTTTGGGTCTGACTAATCCTTCGTCATAGTTTAATAATAGTATTTTTTTTTACCCATAAAATGTTTCCTTCAAGAAGTCATGTTTTTATTTTTTTGTTTTTAGACTCACACCAGAATTTGGAAATTCTTTTGAGTTATGTTTATTAACGTAGCTCTTGGCATGAGAGTTTTATCTCATGCCAAGAGCTCAACTACAAAACTTCCCAGTTTTCACAACTGGTAACGGCAAAACACAAACATGTCATGATAAAACACACCCAATGATGAGGATTAAGAAGGACTTACATGGCATGAATCCACATTGATACAGGTAACGTTCAATGAACATACAGAACAATAAATGGATAAAATAAAATGGAACAACCAATTGCTGGTGCAATAAAAACATTTTAACATAAAGGAGGGAAAAAAAATCTGTTTAATTCAGTTTATTTATATGGTGCCAGTTCAAAATAGATGCCATCTCAGGGCACTTTACAGGGATTATTAAATAAAATTGCATTGTATAAACCTCTTTTCCAGTGCATGCCTGCACTACAAGATTCAAATGCCATAAAACATCCCTTTAAAACTAAAAAATAATTGATGGACTGCCCAAAAAAGAGTAAAACTGTTTTTAAACCCTGCTGATCTCAGAGCCTCCAGTATTAACTTCTGGTTAGGTGTTAAACCCTACTGACAAATAAATTTTGGTTTCCCTTCTATTGAGGCCTCATTTTTCCAAAGATTTCATTAAGTCATTTTTAAAATCTCATATCATTGTGGTCCAATCTTGCAGCAAAATCCTATTGCGAAGATGTATTTATTATGTTTTGCAGACACCACAGTACACCTTCAGGGTTTCAGTGTAGTTGTTACTTTGATGGGTCAGATCATCAAAGAAGATGCACAAATTAAAAAACAAAAGTCTATGGCATCACAGTTCTAAGTATTCACATATACTCCGCATGAATTTACATAAGTGCACTTAAAGTTCACGAAGATAACCCATTATTGACTAAACTAAACAAAATCTATCCATTATCTCTGACTGTGTTAACAAATATTCAAATCATCTCAGTATTCTAAATGGCCACATAATCTCCACCGGATGTACTTCACATTTATTTGAACTGCTGGGCATGTAACATCAAAATTTCATTAAAAACAAGACAGTAACATCAGAATCAGAATCAGAAATACTTTAATAATCCCAGAGGGAAATTACTTATGTTACACGCTCCAGTTACAGTTTTATACAATATATACACACATCCAACTATACAATATAATAAAGATAAAAAAAATAAGAATAAAAAGAGATAAAATCACAACAAAGGTACTGTACATTACCATGAAGCCATAGAACACTATGAATTCTACCTTTCCCAAAATTAAGCACTTCATCAAGTAACCTACGTCCCTATACCTAGGAGATCACATAACATTTTGAAAATGTAGAGCAATGTTACAAGCATTGCTAGATACCCCAATGTATTGGGAAAGATAAGAAACAAACAGCAGTTTTATTTAGATAGTAATGACTGTTTGGCAGACAGCTGAAAAGGGGAAAATAACTATAGTCCATAGATTTATTGGTAATTTTGAAATTTACACTGTGTAAAATTGAGATCATTAAATTTCTTTCCTTTGAATTCATTAAAGGCTTTTCCAGTGAAAATCATTTCAGCCCAAATAAAGCTGATTAAATCTAATCTGGGACTGATGTTATTGGGCTATGTAAAGGAAATGAGCACATAATCCTTTATGGACATTTGCAGATGGCCATGAGGTAAAAGCGAAAGTTCCTGTGAGCATTTATGTTAATTGCCCAACAAAGGATTTCTTGCGAAACCATTAAGGCTCACAGGAAATCTTGTGAAACCTTCCAGTCAACTCACATTGACTAATATGGTGGGATCCCAAGTTATAGACAGGTCAACTCGATTGACCTTTAAGAGTGTGATGTGGTTGTACTATTTACTGTTAGAAGAGCTTTGTAGCAGATGTTTCTTAACCTCCATGCTAACCCTCAAGCAGTATTTAGGGCGGATTGCCTACATTGTCACCGTTATGTGTATGGATGGACTGATGAATGGAAAATTCTTTGGGAATCCCCAATTTTATGAATGGTTCATCAGTGAAAAAGCTGCAATATGGTCAGATCATGCACAATGGGTGTAGGTACCCGGGAACAGGGGGCGTGAGTTAGGATGTGGGTCTCAACCACTGCACCCACCAGCTCTCCACAATGAGACCCTCTTTTATGCCTTATTAGGTTCTTCCTTTAGAGACTATTTCTGGCTAAGAAACTCTGTAATTTAAGGCTTAAGTAAAGGCCAGTTCATCAGGGCAATTTCAAGCCTCTATTTAGCATTTCATGAAGGGAGGCAGGTTACATTGCACTTTTTTGGACAAATCCGCCCTATTTCAGGAAAATCAAAACCAAATGTTGAAATAAAAATCTTGAATGAAGAGTAAAGGAGTGGCTACAGTGAGGGCTGCAATACGGGAATACTTTCCGAATGGTCAGCTTGTGAGGTCATTTAAAATATGCCCAGAAGCCTGTTGATCCAATTGACCCAATGTTTTAGCATCGTTGTGCAAAAGGAAGCCGAATGTTTGGATAAAGGGCTGGCAGGCGATTGCCCAGAAGGCAGCATCTGGTGCCTTTCTGCTGCCTCTGGTAAACCTCCATAGTGAGAGAGAAGTGAATTCCCGACCAGTCTCATTTGGGATGTGTCACTTCCTTTTGTGTTTCTCGTCCTCTGCCTCATACCCTGATGTCTGTTATTGTTCTTGATATGCCTATGTTTCTGGTAACTTCCATTCTGTATACGAGTCATACAAACTAATTGGGACTTTTCATTATATAACCGGCAACACTTTACAGGGAAGCAAAGTTTATGTTGACAACAGGGATGATACATTGTTTGTATCATTTTCCCTCTGGCTAGTTTTCAGTTAGACATTGAGTGAGAGACCTGCAGAAAATAACCTACGCAAAACTGCTAAACTATGGAAAACAGTGGAAATATTTGCCAGAGTGGTGAGACCACTGACATCCAGCTGCCAAATATGATGTCAGTAAGCAAAGCAGCACCAGTCTTTGTTCTATCTGTTCCCTTCACTTATTTTTAGTGTCAATTATCAACACTATCAAAAACAGCTATTTTACATCATTAAGAGGTGCTGCAATAGAAGTGAAACTTCCAATGAAGCAGCAGTCTTTACACGTGTCTATGTTTAAAGTAATTCAGGAATTTGAGAATATGTTTCTTTCACTGAGTAATGGAGGCTTTTGGGTTGCTTACACTGAGGGAATAAACCAGACTGAATCTATTAAGCGTAAGTGGATGATGTCACTCTTCACCACAGTGCCAAGTCTCCTACACACCTTTTTTTTTCAGTAGTTACTGAAAGCGAGTCTACGTATATAAACACTCTCACTAAAACAAATCACTGATAACCGCAGCGTGGGATGAGGGTTACTCAAAGGGCTTTGTTGTTGGGAAATGTAATTCAGGATAACAGTAATTTTGAGTTGGAGGTAAAATCAAACTTCTTGAACAAAAATACCCTTCAGGACAACTGATGTGTCAAATAACAGTGTCTTACCCTTTTTTTCCCCCTCTAAAAAAATAATTTCAAAAATTAACCATGTTGTACTCATTAAACAATTGGTAAAAAAAAAAAAAAAAAAACTAGTTTGTATTTGGTATGTTTTTTCTTTTTATTAGGGTGCTGTATTTAGTACTAAATTCATGTTTTATTGTTGTGATCTTTTCAGTGTTGCTGGTAGGGGCATCAGCTCTCTTGGTTTCTGTTGATGTGTCAGTTCACACACATTACCTTCAGAGCGCCTGGGGTGC